TAGAAATCAACTAAATTTAAATTTGACTTATATATGTCTCTCATCTTTTCTATATAGTATTTCTCAGAAGTCAGATGAAACGTAAAAGAATTTAATATAACAAAGAAGAAAACATGAGAACCATTAAAAATTTTATCCTTAATTTGCAAGTAAAAACAAATCAAAAGACAAACAACGAATCATAATTGATAATTAGCCCCAAGTTAACCTTAAAACATATCTGAAGGAACATTCACTTTCACTAACTAAAAAAGAAATAAAAACAATTCCACTCAAACTTTCAAGGTTGGAACTGGAGGGATATATTTTTCAGAAGAAAGGAGCATTCAAACCATAATCGTGAACTGAAATTTCTCTTTGATAAAACTGCCTCCACAACATTGGAGGGGATGGGAGAGGGAGGTGGCCTTTAACACTGGTCCAGTAATGGGCAAAAGACTTTTCCTTGATTTCTCACATCACAGGTGAAACAAAATCGGGACATTAAAAAAATATGAGTAAAAGGCTAAAAGATGCAAAATAGAATAAAATGAACAAAGGGACTACCACAAATGTATGGGATACAGATTATAAACTACCATTTATTTATCTTCAGTTTTTTTACCCAATAAATGCGTCCCTTCTTTCTCATTCTTAGTCATCATTCTTCCAGACTTCAAAAATATATAAACTGATCTCAATAAGCCTTAACAGTCATGTCATATAACGGAGAGATAGGTAAAAAGCCATTGATTAATTTCCCTCTTGTAACAGGTAAGGCCTTATATCCACAATATCCAATTCAGCTTTTGGAATACCAATGGGCCTCTAATTATCAAGACAGAATTAAATAACAAAATAATTGTTAAAAACACAAATGATACTTTAGTCAAAGGAAAATATTCCCCAAAACCAACAAGTATGAAGTATTAAAGTATCCATTATTTGAAATCACATATTTACCATTATGTTTGAACTAGTGCTCTAAAAAATTACTCATGAACATATGAAACAGCTAATATTAAGTGGGTTTCAGATCTTACCAAACTGAGAAAAACTCATAATTCTGTGAAATAACTATTTTATAAATGAAAAAATAGATATAGCAGGACCGCACAAGGATTCAGTTACAAAACTAAGGCTGAAGACTGTAGTGCTTATCTAAGGAATGGCTCTAGCATTTCTCCAAATAAAATCTACTTTAAATAAAGTCACTGAATCCACTTGTAAATTATTTCCCTTTGGCTGTCTCATTATTCAATATGCTTTCAAGGAACATGGTGATGAAAGAAGAAAAATACCTCTTTCTAACATAACCATACTGGCAAGAACATCAACATTATCAGTATTCAAAGAATGTCTTGGCAGGTTATAAACCTTCATAAAAAGAAGGAACACTAATCCAAGATGTCAAACTAGCAATAGTACTTCTTATATTATGTGCAATATGATTGTTTGTAATGTAGAAAAAATTTTCAAATAAAGAAACCAATATTGCCATGTTTAAATTTTAAGCTAAGGCAAAAAAAAATTTCTCAGAAAACCACATAAAGTATGACAAACATAAGCATGTTTATAAGAGTAGAGCAGAACTCAATGTTCAAAGAGATTTATGACAATGTGTTGATGCTATTTTTGGAACTTAATATATTTTAACATTTGAGGCACAACAGCATATTAAATAAGAATGAAAAAATAATTTATAATAAGAAAAAAAGCTTAGAAATATAACTGAGTCCATGATTTCCTTGTGTAATAGTAGGTAATGCTTAATTTTACTACAAGACTTTATTTGGGCTATATTAGTAGGCACAATTTATTTTAAAGTCATAAGAAACTTTTAAATACAGCACTATCTTCAGATCTCATAATCTAGCTCTATTTAAACACTCAACACTAAAAACTGATGCCAGGACAGTGACATTTTATTTACAGTACTTGCACTTTCAGAAATGTCAAATTCCCCAAGAGGAAGGCACAGCCAGTTAACTCAGCATGTGCATTAAAAAAAGATGCTTGATGAAACTTTTGATTAAACAAGGACTAAACACACTGTATCCACAATTATTATAAAACTATTTCATGTGCTATTTTCCACTTGAAGGTTTTTACCCTCCTTTAAGCTTTTCAAGTGTCTCTTCCTGTCCACAAACTGATTTATAATTTTACTGTAAGACTTCTGATAGCCTTACATTAATGGTGCAATACTCTCCAAGATTTGCACTGCATCTGAAATTACTGAAGGCCACTGAGAGACCTGTGTTTGTTCAATATAAGCTCAGAAATGGTGTACTTGAAAAATTATAAAATACAGTGTATTGAAAAATACTACTTTCCATTTTCAAAAGAAAATGCCTACACTGATGATCTTACAGAGGTTGGGGAAATAATATAATAAACTTATCCAAAGTTCAGAAGATATATATTTGACTTCAAATACTCATCTGCATTACATTAGAGAATAATCTTATTTTATCCTTCTGCTTTCTCTTCCTCAAAACTTCTCTCTTTGGTTGCAGTCACTATTCTTCTATAAAAATGTAGCTCCTGTCTTCATGTTTTACCTTTCTCCATCTGTTTTCCTCTCCTGATCATTGTTTCTTTTGCCTTTGATATTTTCTTAACTTGGGTACATTCAACTTTTAATAACAAAATGTTCTTTGGATCAAGAGGTCATAGGGTTATTTATATTAGCAGGATGAGCCTCCATCCATCAACATCCTGAGGAATTCTAGCATCATAGAGCTGGAAGAGATTTCAAGGTATCATTTGGTTGAGCTCTATGCCAGCAGTAACAGGTGGCTGACTATTCTTACTGCTTTTCTTTCTTTTTTATTTTTTTAAGATGACTAAAATTCTGATCATAAATATTCCACTGTAACTTGGTTTAATGAGAGAATCCTCTTGGACTTCCCTGGTGGTCCAGTGGTTAAGAAGCTGCCTGTCAAGGCAGGGGACTGGGTTCGATCCCTGGCCTGGAAAGATTCCCCATGCTGCGGGGCAACTAAGCACATATGGCAGAACTCCAGACCCCACACGCCGCAGCCACTCGGCTCACGCACTCCAGACCCCAAACGCCGCAGCCACTCGGCTCACGTGCTCCAGACCCCACACGCCGCAGCCACTCGGCTCACGCGCTCCAGACCCCACACGCCGCAGCCACTCAACCGATGCACTCGAGACCCCACACGCCGCAGCCACTCACTCACGCGCTCCAGACCCCACACGCCGCAGCCACTCAGCCGATGCACTCCAGACCCCACACGCCGCAGCCACTCGGCTCACGCGCTCCAGACCCCACACGCCACAGTCACTCGGCTCACGGCTCTAGACCCCACACGCCGCAGCCACTCAGCCGATGCACTCCAGACCCCACACGCCGCAGCCACTCGGCTCACGCGTTCCAGACCCCACACGCCGCAGCCACTCAGCTTACGCACTCTAGACCCCACATGCCGCAACAAGAGAAGACATTGCAATGAGAAACCCACGTACTGCAACTAGAGAAAGCCTGCTCGCAGCAACGACGACCCAGAGCAGCCAAAAATAATTAAATTAAAAAACATGGGATCTTCTTAATAGCAAGCAAAAAGACATGGAGTGGAAAGAAAAGTGGATGAAAAAGGGTTCGGATCTCAGCAGAATTACTTACTGTAAAAGAGAAAACGGGGCTTCCCTCATCTGCCTGCCAATGGAGGAGACACAGGTTAGATGACTGATCCAGGACGATTCCACATGCCAAAGATCAAGTGAGCCCATGTGCCAAACCTATTGAGCCTGCACTCTACAGCTTGGGAGCCAACACTACTGAGCTCACATGCCACAACCATTGAAGCCCACAGGCCCTGGAGCCCGTGCTCTGCCACAAGATAAGCCACTGAAAAGAGAAGCCCATGCGCTATAACTAGACAGCAGCCCTCGCTCGCTGTAACTGGAGAAAAGCCCACGCAACAACAAAGACCCACCACAGCCATGAGTCAATAGATGAAATAAGGGAACCGCTAGGTGATGCTTAAGAAGGAAATTCATTAACAAAACAAAAAACAATTCCTTAGATCATTCTGAGCTTCAAGTTCCCTATACAAATAGAGGTAAGGCTGTCTAACCTACAAGGTTATTGTAAGTGCTCTGAAACCTAGAAAAGAACTACACAATGTGATATAGTATTAAAACAGGAAGACAAAACAGTAGACTGTGAAGAATCTACACTCAGTAGTCATGTAACGTTTCAAAACTCATCTCAACTATTTGCCAGCTGTGCAATGCTGAGCCAGCCTCTCTAGGTTCAGCGCAGAGGCCCACTGCAAGCTGACAAATGTCTGCTTCACTCAGCTGCTGCTGTGGGTGACAGAAGCTTCATGTGCCTAGCATAGGTACTGGCCTTGTGCACACCCTCAATAAATGTTACATCTCTACTCCCCACCAGGTTTACAAACTTCTGCAGTGTGGTTCTACTCTCCTTTCAGTAAATATTTTGAGGTGCACATGTGGAATTTTATGAAACAGAACATTCAGAAGATATGTAAACCTTCCTTTCCCCTAAGATTTATCAAGTAACAAGAGGAATTCCTTATCAGCCCTGCTCTGAAAAAATGGAAAGAAATGAGTAGAGTTTCCCTTAAAAAGCAAACAAAAAACTCTTCCAAAGAAGAAACCATTTAAAATAAATGGTAGAAAATATCACTAAACAGTGAACTTCTTCTGTGTTGTTTTTTTTAAACAGTGAACTTCTTAAAGGAAAAGAACAAGTCTCAGTCATCATACTTAGGAAGCACTCAAACATTTCTTGGATGAAAAAGTCTCTTGGTGGAATAACTTAATCTTAGAAATTAAGAAATAAAAGGTTCAATCAAATTTCATATAGATGTGAGGTAACAAAGATGCTCTTTATACAATAAAGTAAAAACTAAACAAATGTGGACAAATTTTGAAAGACTCTTACACATCTGATTTAGATAAAATGCACTGTCCCATTACTGTCATATATCAAAAAATTCTGTAGAAAGTACAATAACGCTTACCTTGTTATGTATAAAAACAATTCTTACATCAGGTTTAAGTATACCGTAGCTTATAAGGAGATCTTGGATCTTTTTTATTTCATCTTTACATTTTTTAGCAGTTGAGTAAAATTGCTTTCTTACAGGTAGATTCTTAAATAATCGTAAAGCAGTTACAGTGGTACCTGTTGGCAGATAAGAAGAAAGCATATTTAAGCATGTGGAAGGAACGTCACAGATCTTCAAATCCACATACAATCAGTAATTAACTCCTTTTATTACTGAAGGTCATTTCTCTTCAAAGTCTGGGAACCCAAAGAAGGCTCAACTGTGCAAGCTATTCTGACCTCTTGCTAGGCTCTCCTATTTGTAACAGGTCTGACCCCATTAAGTATGATCTCTTTTATGTGGGCTTCTCACGTGGCACGAGTGGTAAAGAACCTGCCTGACAATGCAGCAGACTTAAGAGCTGTGGGTTTGATCCTTGGGTCAGGGAGATCCCCGGGAGGAGGGCATGGCTTACCCACTCCAATAGTCTTGCCTGTAGAATTCCAAGGACAGAGGAGCCTGGCGGGCTACAATCCATGGGGTTTCAAAGAGTCAGATATGACTGAAGCAACTTAGCACATGTGCTCTAAACAGGAACAATCTTATTTCTACCGCTACAGAAAAACATGGGCTTACTACTGATACAGTGTAGTATCTTAAGAAATCTGCTGATATTCTAACTACCTGGGAATGGTGCTTATTCTGCACTATAAAACATACAGGTGATATAAGGCCACACAGCATATGTACAACCTTAATTATTCAATTAAAAATTCTTATCTGATGTGCAACACCATTAATTATCAGAGAAATGTATATCATAATTACAATGAGTTATCACCTCTCACTGGACAGAATGGCCATCATTAAAAAGTCTACAAATAATGAATTCTGGAGAGGGTGTACAGAAAGACAATACTCTTACACTGTTGGTGGGAATGGTAAGTGGTACAGCCACTATGGAAAACAATATGGAGGTTTCTTAACAAAAGCTACCGTATGATCTAGCTACTCTGCTTCTGGGCATATATTCAGAGAAAACTCTAATTTAAAAAGATACATGTACCCCAACGTTCAAAGCAGCACTATTCACAAAAGTCAGGACATGGAAGCTACCTAAATGTCCACTGACACATGAGCAGATAGAAAGCAGGTGATAAGGGAAGTCTGAGATGGAGGGGATATGCATACACATAGCTGACTCACTTTGTCACACAGCAGAAATTAACAAAACACTGTGAAGCACTTATACATCAATACAACTTAAAAAAATAAAATAAAAAGAAGATGTAGTACACACACACACACACACTGGACTGAGCCAGAAAAAATAAAATAATGCCACTTGCAATAACATGGATAGACCTAGAGATTATCCTACCAAGTGAAATAAGTCAGAGAAAGATAACGTGATATTACTCATATGTGGAATTTAAAAAATGACACAAATTAACTTATTAACAAAACAGAAATAGACTCATGGACACAGAAAACAAATTTATGGTTATCAAAAGGAAAATGGCAAGACGGAGAGAAAATTAGGAATTTGGGATGAGCAGATACAAACTACTATATATAATACAGGTAAACAACAAGGTCCTACTGTACAACACAAGGAACTATATATTCAGTATCTTATTTATAATAACCTATAATGGAAAAGATATGAAAAAGAATATATATGTATATGACTTGATCACTTTGCTATACACCAGAAACTAATACAATATAAATCAACTATACTTCAAATTAAAAAATTCTTATCTGAAATAATATTTAATTCCCTGGTTTATCTCATCTTCTGAAATATGCAAAACTAGAATAATTAAACGGAAGCTTTTTTTTTAAATTGTGAACTTACTTAACCAAAAACTTAAGGGGTGGGGTCACGATGGCAGAGTGGGAGGATACAGAGCTCACCTCCCCCTACTAACACATCAAAAATACATCTACGTGTGGAGCAATTCTCAATTGTGTGTGGAATTTCAAAATTCCAGTTTGAAAACAAACTGGAAACTGGCATTAAGACTCTTACACAACCAAAGGTGTGAGAAAGATGCACATGAAACTGAACAGCACGAGAAGGGAAGTAAGTCTGTGCAGCTGCCCTCGCCTTCTGAGAGCGGGCACAGAAGAGGAAAGAGTACACAGGCTCTGGGCCTTCCTAGGGAATCATCGGTTTGAACCATTTACTGGGCTCCCTATCCCTGGTGTCCAACACCGGGAAGGTGTCCCTCTAGGTCGTCTGAAAACCAGTGGGACTGACAGAGTTCTAAGAAACCTAGACTCCGCTCATGAAGAGTGAGCATGTGCTTGCTTACTTCTGAAATAGGACAGAGGAAGCAGGTCTCTGGCCCGTTTCCCACGATCACCCCAGCACACACCTTGGACGAGCTGAGCAGCCACTCTGGCTTGGGCTCATCCTGTGGCAGAGCTCCACACTATAACAAGGGCTGCCTTAGCCAACGGACGTGCACAGTTGCAGGGGACCAGGGTGGCTTGGATCTGGGGCAGCGTCCAAACAGGTCAGGGGCAATCGTTGCTGGCGCTTGCAAAGGCAGTGGACTGGGACAGGCCGGAGCTCTGACTAGTAATGGGGCATGCATGGTGTGCGCCCAGCCACACAGAGCACCTGCCCTGGCCCCGCATGCTCCGCAGCAGAGCTCCACACTAGGGCAAGGGCTGCCCTGGCTGTGGAGAGTGTAGCTGTAGAGGCTGGAGCCGGCTCAGGCCTGATGCAGCACCTGAACAGGGAAAGGCAACCACGGTGGGTGCTCACAGCAGTCTGGTCCTCTAAAATAGTGCCAGAACCACCAGGGCATGCACCCCGAGCCACGACAAGTGCCCACACGTGCCCCTCTTGCTTCAGCCCCCCTCGAGGGCAAGTGTGCCAATGCTGGAACAGGGAGCACACATACTCAGAGAAAACAGAGCCAGCTCAGGCCTTGTGTTCCAGCAACATGGAACCTGATCTCATCCACAACCGGGTGGTACTGGGTACTGGGCACTGGGCAGAGGAGAAGCCCCAGCTCACACATGACTCTGGTTCTAGCCCATCTGTCTCTATCCCTAGACCCAAGTAAGGTGAAAGCTGCCAGCACTCCATGGAGGAAGATGTAATCGTGTTCATATGAAATCCAGCTCTTCTACCAAAGGCACCTGGTACTGACTAGGGATGCCCCAACACAGACACCCCTACAAGACTGCAATAGGTACCTGTTTCACCAAGTTTCATAGAGACAGAGAAAATTAAGCAAAATAACAAGACAGAAGAATTTGCTTCACATGAAAGAACAAGACAAAACCCATGGAAAAAAACAACTAATGACACAGGTAAATAATTTACTAAATAAAGAATTCAAGGCATTACTAATTAGAATGCTAATCGGACTTGGGAAAAGAACAGATGAACACAGTGAGAACTTTAACAAGGAACTTAAAAAAAAAATCAGAACTGAATACAATAACAAGTGAAAAATACAGCAGAAAGAAATAACAGACTTGGTGATACAGAAGAACACATTTTAAGTGGTATGGAAGACAAAATAATAGAAATCACCCAATCAGAAGAACAAAAAGAAAAACAAATTTTAAAAAATGGGACGAGTTTAAGGGACCTCTAGGACAACACCAAACATATTAACATTTACTTATAGGGTCCAAGAAGGAGGAGAGAGAAAGGGGTCGAAAATATATTTGAAGAAGTTACAGCTGAAATTTTCCCAAACCTGAAGAAGAGATATCCAAGGACAGAAAGCATAGAGGGTTCCAAACAAAATGAACCCAAACAGAGGTACATCAGGACATATCATAATTAAAATGGGAAAGGTTAAAGATAAAGGGAGAATTCTAAAGGCAGCAAGTGAACCCTCATAAGGCTCACTGGATTTTTCTTCTGTAGAAACTTTGTAAGCAATCAGGGATTGGCATGATATATTAAAGTGTTGAAAGGAAAAAACCTACCACCTAGATATATTACTTAGGAAGATTATCATTTAAAATTGAAGGAGAGATAAAGAACTTCTCAGACAAGCAAAAGCTGAAAGAGTTCATCATAAACTCCTTAAAAAACGACCCTAAAAGATATGCTAAAAGACAGTTTCTAAGAAAAAGGAAAGGTTACAACGAGAAAAATAAAAATCTATAGGAAACGTAAAATCCTACTATATAAATATAGGGGATTCCCTGGCAGTCTAGTGGTTAGGACTTGGCACTTTCACCACCGAGGGCCCGGATTCAATCCCTGGCTGGGGAACTAAGATCCCACAAGCTGTATGGTGCAGTCAACAAAAAAAAAAAAAGAAAAGAAACTCCAAAACCAAAACAAAAAAAATCCACAAAAACAAATACATAGTAAAGGCTATAGACCAACCACTTACATGACGTGCACTCATCTGCAAGAACACCAAAATTGCAATTACCTGCTGAACAATCATCAACGGGATAATGTTGGAACCCACCAAAAAAAGATACCCTACATCCGAGAGCAAAGGAGAAGCAAACAAGACAGTGAGGGAGGCAGCTGCATTTAAAATCAAACCCCATAGCTGCCAAAGACTCTTGGAGGGCACGAACAAAACCTCGTGTGCACCAGGACCCAGGGAAAGGAGCAGCAACCCCAAGACTGAGACAGACCTACTTGTGAGTGCATGAGGGTCTCCTGCACAGGCATGAGTCAACAGTGGTATGCCGCAGGGACAGGGGCTCTGGCAGCAGCAGTCCTGGGAGGTGACATGTGTGGGGTAAGTCCTCCTGGAGGAGGTCCCCATCAGCCCCACCATAGAACAGGTGGACAATCACAAAAGTGAAAGTGAAAGTGAAGTTGCTCAGTCATGTTCAACTCTCTGCAACCCTGTGGACAGAAGCCCAGCAGGCTTCTCCACCCATGGGCTTTTCCAGGCAAGAACACTTAAGTGGCTTGCCATTTCCTGCTCCAGGGGCTCTTCCCTACCCAGGGATGGAACTCAGATGTCCGGCACTGTAGACAGACACCACCTGAGCCACAGGGAAGCCCGATCCACAAACTGGAGAACAATTATCTCTGGGGGAGGCATAGGTCAGCAGTGGCCTGCCACAGGATCAGGGACACTGACAACAGCAGTCATGGGAGGCACAGTGTGCAGGCAAAAGTGCTTTT